GGTTATATAAATACAAATTGTACATATATATATCATAAATTATTATATGTTTATATGTAATTACATATACATATATATATATATATATATCTATATAAATTTTTGTTTTATGAATGAATAACCACTCTTTTATTTATTTTAATTCATTTTTGTTTTTCTTTTTTACTGTTTTAGTTTATTTATATTTTTATTGTTGAATGTTGGAATAAACATAAGTATATGTATATGTATAAACTTCAAGAATGTGTATATTTTTATATATATATATATATATGATTATTATTTTAATATAACAAATTTAAAAATGGTACATATGATGAATAAGAGAAAATATTTTTTTTTTGTTTGCTCATTGCCTTTATATTTATTTTTTGATTTTTGGTTATTTTAAATATTCCATAAAATTTTCCTCAAAATATTTGTTTAAAAATTTACACATAAATGATATATATATACATATATATGTATACAAATATATATATGATCTCAAAATTAATAATATTATTATTTTTAATATTCGTATATTAAATAACGGTTAATATATAGCATAAACATGCATATATATATATATATATATATATATATATATATATATATATATATATATAATTTTTATTATTATTTAGTGTTTTATTTTCATTATCATTATTATTATTACAAAATTAAATTTTTTTAATAGAATTTTATAAGTATACTATTTATATTTGAAAATATTTTTGTATAACCAATATACAATTCAATTATATATAATATTCATATGTCAGTAAATTATAATGTGGTTATAATATTTAATTAAGTTATATTCAGTGATTATTAAGTTCAGTTATTATTTATTTATTTTTTATACATATATATGTGTAATTATATATTTATTTTAGAATTTATTTAATATTAACTTCACTTTACTGTTATTATTATTATTGGTATTAATATGGTGAAATCGGTTTTTATTTTTATTAATATTTATTTTTTATTTAGAAATAAAATACAATAATAATGACGATAATAAAAAGTGCACACTAAAAAAAAATTTTTTTTTCTTCTTTGGTAAATTTTATTTTTGGTACATTTATTTTCGAATGGAATAGGACCCAATGTTGAATTTTTCTGAATATTATTAAATTTATATTTTGTTTGAAATATAAGAATTTAAGTATGTATACAAATTATATATGAAATAACTATAGGAAAAAAAGCAATGATAATAATAGTGATATACACTTGTATTTTTTTATTATACTTTACAGTTACATTGCACTAGAGTACAAACATTACGTACAATTATATAAATAAATTTATATTCAATAATAAATTAAATTCTTATTATTTTAATTTTCAAATCTTTTATTTTGGTTTCTAGTATTTTTTTTTGTTTTATTCCATTTTATTTTGGGCAAATATTATTAGAAAACAATTTAAAAAAAAATTGTTAAAGAATATTTTAAAAAAATGAGCAAGAACACGATAGAAAAAAAACAGAAAGGAGAAATTTTTTTTTAAATGTATGTATTCATAAACTAAAAAAAAAATTAAAAATAATTTAACAAAAAGAAAAATTTTTTTTTCTAATTTCCTTTCTTATTATAATTTTTTTTTCTTAAGAATAAAATATATATTTTTATATAATTTTTTATATATACTTTTTATTTTATTTTTTTTTTTAAATATTTTATTTTAATTTTCTTTTTTGTATTTTAAACGAAACGAAACGTTATACGCCGCGATATTTTTTTTTGTTACCATCAAGTATGATAGCTTGTTACTCACTCACTGAATTACTCAAGCAGGACACGACGACTTCAACAACAATTATACGACTACGACTATACGATTACGACTACGACAACGACGACGACGATGATGATGATAGTATCAAATATAATACTAAAAAAAAATATACATATAAATGAGAAAAAAAAAATAAGAAAAAAAAAACCAGAGCAACAAGAACAATAATCAGAAAAATTAAAAGAGAAACAAAAAAAAAAATAAGAATAACGACGGCTATATACAAAATCTGAAATAAAATCCACAATACTCTTCACAATGATGATGATTATAACGTTGATGATGATATTGATAATAATATTAGAATGGTATTCTTCATAATGATGATGATGATGATGATAATGATGATTATTATTATTATTTCGCTTATTTTGAGAGATGGCAAGGAGAAAAATAAAAAAAAAACAAAAAAAGGAGCACCAACAAAAAAAAAAAGAGAAAAAAATTAAAAGAAAATTTTTCAATGAGAAAAAGGCAATAAAAAAAAGAAGGAAGAAAGAAAGGTATACATAAAACGGGTACAAAAAAAAAGAAGAATATAAAAAGAAATAGAACAGTAAAAATAATAAGAACAACATATAAGAGTGACAGAAGTATGAGTCCAACGGTAACAGAAGGAAAAGAGGAAATAAACAAAGTGAGCAACAGCAACAAAAAAAATTTTGTTGCTTTTTTTGTTGTCGTTTGTTTGTCTTTTCTCTTTATTTGTTCAAATATATTTTCAGTTTAATTTTTATATTTTTCGTTTTTTATTTTCTTTTTCAATTCCTTTTAAAAATTTTTTCTTTTCCTTCTTCAGTTTTGCTTTTTCATTTCGTTCTTTTTTTTTTGTTCTGTTCAATTTTATACTAGTTTTAGAGTTGCCAGCTGTTTTCTCAAATTCAATTTAATTAAATATTGGAGAAATTTGTTATTCTAGTAATCCCAGAATAAGGAACTGTCAAATAATGAGATTTTGGGCTAAACAATTCCGATAATTTTCTAGTGATTTTTTTATACAAAAAAACAAAAAAATTAATTCTTAATGAAAGTTAAGACTTTTAATTATTTATCTTAATTTTATTATGTACTTCGACTAAAATTTCTAAAAAGACTGTGTATTAAATTGTTCGATTTAGACAAATTTTATAATAGAAACAACTGCAAAACAGTAGAATTTGTTTCTTATGCGAATTTATAAAAGTTTAGCAAATTTAATCTATTAATTTTACCATATAGAAAAGAGAGCACAAGAAACGGCAAAAGAACAAAACATTTTCTACTCTTAAAATTTGGCAATCTTATTTTTATAAATTTTTATGCTCTACGAGAATTTTTGCGTTTTTCTTCCATTTTATTTTCTTATTGTTTTTTTTTTTTCTTATTTTGATTCTTGCACTCTTCCTTCTTTATTTGCTTTCTTTTTTTTTTTATTATTATTTTTTTATCATTCCTATTGGTTTTGATTAAAAATTCACTTTACTCTCACCGCAAAAGTATTTTTCTCGGTTGAGACACAACTATTTTTATTTTGCGTCTTCTCATATTATCGGGTTTGCTTCTATATTTTGTTCTGCTCTATTCGGTTCGGTTTTTTCCCTTTATTCTTTATTCTCATGTTATAATTTTGCTTTTTATTCCTTATAAATACTGCTTACCACTTTTTTGTTGTTAGGTTAATGGTACAACAGTAAACCGACATAAACTAAAAGGATATAAATATTCTACAATACACATTTCTCTATACATATGTATTAATAACAAATACAGAATATTTTTTAGTGTCCTCTCGTTTTTGTTTCACTTTTTTTTTTTATTTAGAGCACCCCTATAAACCCATATATAGATATTACACAGAAAAAAATAAATAGAAAAAAAAAATATGGTACATTAAAGCCCTTACATCGATGGTGATGATTTTTCTATTCACAAATTCTCATTTGTAATTTTTTGAAGGCGCGGACAACATCGCAGCAACGACACAAAGAACAAAATAGAAGAAAAAATATTGAATACACACATAAATGTATAAAAACATCCTTTTTATATAATTCTTCCTTTTTTTTCAACACAAACAACATCATTAAACAAAAGAAGAAAAAAACAAACAATTTGTTTTTTCTTGTTTTATTTCAACACAACAGCAACAAAACCAACAACTGCAGATGTTAACAAATAATGTTAAGAGGACAACGGAGAGGCAACAAACACAAATACTTGCACCATAAACGACAATAAAATTAGCAGAGTTTGGTTGTACAAAAGTGTGAACGCAACACACACAAAAAACTGTTTCATATACACATACAATACAAAACTGAAAAGCAAACACATTGAATAAAAAGTAAAGTAGAAGACAAAATAAAAGAAAAAACCGAACGCAATAATAAAAAGGTTATTGAAGAATATTGCAATAAGTTGAACACGTTCAAAGGATACGAAAAAAGAAAAAAAACTACTTTCGTGTTTTTATTGCTCTTTTACTATTCTCTTTTTATTATTTTTGTGTGTTGTTTTTTTTTTAAATTCATTGCTACTCTCTTTAACAACATTTTTTTTCAGTGGCATGGCTATGTTAATATTTTCAGTTTCTCATTTTTTTATGTACACTCAAATGCAAGTCTGATAAATGATAACGAAATGATTTTTTTTCTTTCAACTTCAAGCCGATTTATTTTTACTTTACTTTGTTCGTTGTTGACAAAAGGCGAAAGAGAGTGAATAATAGAAATGAAATAATGAGAAGAGAATTTCGTATAAGAAAATATGAGAAAATTTATTTATTTTTTTTTCTCCATTTTAAAATATCATTTATCACACAGTTAGTAAATTTATATGAGTATTTTTTATTGTTCCTGTAAGAAATATTATACCCTTCTTTTTATGTTTCATATATCCTCTTTCCTGTAAACTGGATTTTTCATTCTCTTTCTCCCTCTCTCTCTCTCCAGCTTTGTATTTATGGGAGAAAGAATGTGCAATGAAAAGTAAATTATTCTTCATAATAATTAGTTTAAAACACCCAATACTAATTTAAATTAATACGAAATATTAATAATGTTAAAAAAAAAAATTTATCGTATATTTTTAGACTCAAATGATCATACATTTTTCAACAAATAAAATATATACATAGGTATATAACTTATATGTACCTATATGTCTATCATAAAAAACTATAAAAATTTTAGGTATAAGAAAATAAAAATTTTAGCAAAATGCTAAAATACATAGAAATTATAGTTAATTTTATAATTAAAAAACTATAATTAAAATTCCTTACCAACAAAAAATATTGTAATTGAAGAAAATTTTGAATCAAACTTACCTGAAATGAGAAAAAGAATAAAATAAAATTAATTTTGTTAATTGAAAAATCAATTAAAATTTTGAATAAAATTATAAATAAATTATTTCAAACTATGAATAGTTGATTCAGACTTAAAAAATTCATTCAGCAATTCCGAATTTCAATAATGACTTTAATGTGAAATAATTAATAATTAAAAAAAAAAATTAACTTTTACCATCAGAATTATTAAAAAAATTTTCATTGAAAGTGTTGATATTTTTCCGAAATATTAAAATTTATATGTACATATATTAGCAAAAATAACAGTATTTTATTCCGAAGAAAAGCGAATTTTCTTTTAATGCATCTACAAAAATGAATTCAATAAATGTACTCAGTATCACGCAATCCGGTTAATTTATTATGAATTTAAATATAGTATATAATAAATTTTGCATACTTTCAGGCGCACTTTTTTTTTATATATTAAATATAGAGAAAATCAAAATTTGTTAAAAATTTAAAGTAATTTATATTCGTATTTTCCGTTTCAATTTTTATCATAATTGTATGAAGATTTTATAAAATTAATAATTAATTTTCCCTCCAAATTATGTCAACAATTTTCTTATAATAATTATTATATTATTAAAAATATATTCCTTTATATTATATACTAAATAATTAAAAATTTTTTTTTATCAGAAATATTCCATTATTTTTATAAAAATTTCTAATATTTTTTCTTTTTATAACATTCAACAACAAAATATAAAAATTCCTATAAAAAAATTTTTAAAATATCTTTGAAAAGAAATTTTGTTTATTTTATACACTATTTGTATGCGATCACAGTATATGTATATAGACATACTCGTACATGTATTATAAATGATAGACCAAGTACAAGTACAACAAATGTGTAACAACGTATAACATGAATATTCATTTAATTTTTATTTATTTTAATATGCACCTATATAAAAATATATGTACATTCATACATATAATATAAGTATATTTACAAACAAAATATATTTACTCACTAAATTGTGTATATAGCAAATAACCTACTACCTATAGATTTAATCAACTAAAAATTCTTGAACCACTTATAAAATAATTAATTTTCTATTAAAAATAGAAGAAAAAAAAAACAAATAAAAGAATCCTTAAACATCCCATATTAAAAAAGAAGAGAGAGAGAGACAGAATGAAAAAAAAAATGATAAATGTAGAAGGATTAAAGCTCAAAATAATTAAATAAAATAAATAAGTATTTATACATACATATATTCTACACACATATATATTTGGTATATGTGTGTATATACTAGGTATATTATAATGTAAAATATATATGAAAAAATATACAAAAAAAATTTAAGGACCAAAAAAATGTGCATTATACTGTATTATAATAATAATAAATGGAAGAGGTTGAATACGAATACCGTTATACTCAAAAACAAAAAAAAAAAAGTGTTTAAAAAATTCAAACAAAAAAGGTGTTTTTATATAATTAACATTGTCTGTATTCTGCATGAAAACCATACAGTATGTATGTATGTTAATAGTATTATATGAATATGTACGAGTATAACATTTTTATAGAGTTTCCTTTACATAAGGATTCCTATTCAAAATATTTCAAAAAATTCCATATTTATACACTCAAAAAAAAAATTTTTTTTTTTATGGGTATCAACAATACAATCTCATTGTAAATTTTATGTACAGGGTGTTTGAAATTGCATTAATTTACCCAAAAGTAAACTAATATACTGGACGAAAAACGAATACGAAATATTAAATTGGCTTTTTTTTTTCAAATTTCAAGTTATTGCTTTTCCTTTCCTGTAAGTTTGAAGAAGAAGGTTATCATGTTCATTTCAATTTGCAAGGAATTTTTCGTTGAAAGTGAATAAAGTGATAATGTAGGTCAACAGAGAATAAAAAATCAATGACATTGAATTAACTGTAATTTTTTTTTTTTTGACTTAAATAACTTTTTCCCGAAGCCGTAAAAATATTTCTTATGTACAAAAACATTTTTAATCTAAATGATTCATTGATAGAAAAATAAGATTTTCCCGGATTTTCAAAATTAGATGGCTAAGTTTTCTCTGTCAAAGAACGAATGTGTTCCATATCTTGTCTCTCAAAGATCTAGTTATCGGAAAAACGAATTTTCGTTTCCAACAACTAAAAAAAGAATCGAGACAAATTATATATTTTTTGTTCGCCTATCATCGTTGGAATTGCGAACACAACTTGTTATACCCAAACTATTATACGTAAAATACTTATATACATATATGTATATTGTATTGTACATTAATTTGTTATTTTTTGTAATATCTTAAAAAAAAAGACTTCATATTTAGAACAAATTTCTTATACTTATATTGTACATACATAATTTTTTGTATTTTTCCATTTTTTTTTGTTTTCTTTTATTTAAACTTTCTTTAATTACTCTGATATTTGTATTTTGTTTTTGTTATCCTTTTTTATCTTTAATTTGTTTGCTTTTGTTTCTTCATTTTAGGATTCACATTTTTGTTTTCTGATTATTATTTCTATTTTTTTTTTAAGAACACTTTTAAATTGCAACATAATATTATGGTTGATTCCATTTCAAAAAAAAAAAGAAGAAATTGTATAAAAAAAAATTCGCAATATTTACATACATATGTACATATTTTTATTTATTTATGATGAAATGGGTAGATGATGTTTACAATAAAAATTCGAAAAATTTATTTAAGAAAATTATTAAGAATTTTGTGGTATTTACATTTACAACATGAATAAGATATTTTTTTGATTCAAAATAATTTAATTAATAAAAAAGTCTAGATCAGGAAACAAAATTGTTATAAAATATTTGAGCCGAATTTGATCCTCTCATAAACATTAACTGCTTTTTAAGGAATAGACAGAGCTCAATACCCAATATTTTTTCGCATGTATATATTCTCTTAAACATCACAATAAAGTGAAAATTGAGGAAACATTTTCTTAAAGGACAATCTGGTATTTTCTTTTGCATACTAGAATTTTAATTTTAACAAGGAACCCATGACCGTACATTTTAATTTATTAATATTTTTTGATAAATTTCTCAATTTTCTTGGATTATTTCTTTATAGCTGTTAAGAAATTTCTATTTACATACACACACATAAGAAATTGTGATTGTATGCCGGTAACAATTTGCCGGTAGTTTATTCATACCTCTGTATATTAGCTGGTAAAATATCCGCCTAGAAAACGCTAGGTCATTGGTTTGAGCCCAATTCGTGAAGATAATTTTTTCAATTTTTCAGTCTTGACTTATTCTTTTGGTTACGTCATCCATCTGTTCTACAGTTGTATTAGGGAATTTCTATTATAGGCTTTTAAACTAACACTTATAAATTAAATCTCATCAAAATACAAAACTATTGTGTATAGAAAACTATGTATGTATATTGTATAACTGTTATGGTATCTAAAATAAATATGCAACAAATTTAATTACATAAAATATAGGAAATTTCTGACTCATAATTAAACCGTTCGTATATTATATATTTTACTGTAATCCATACATTATTTACTAAGGTAGTAAATGAGAAAAATATATATAAAAAAAAGCAAAAACGGATATCAATTTATTTAAATTTTAAATAAAAATCACACACATATATAAACATACACACGTGTCTTGCATATATAAATATATTTGCAATCACATGAATAATCTTACATATATTCTTAAATATACACAATTTTCCATTTATATTAAGAGAAATAATGATAACAATAATGAGAATAAAATGAAAAAAAAAGAACGAAAGAAAAAAAAGAGAATAAAAGAAAAAAATTCTTTGTTTTCTTTATTTTTTCTTTTCTCTTCTATTTTTGCTTTTCTTTTGATTCTTTTCTCTAAATGTTTTCATGTTAATGCTCAATGCATAACTTTGGTTTTTCTTTTCAATTATTTCTTTTTATTTGCACATTTTTCATCTCGTTTTGTTTTTGCTTTTCTTCTATATTTAATTTCATTTAACTAACACTAATAAGCCTGAAAATAATCTAAGAATGCATCACCTAACAAACATCCCAAAAATAACTGTACAATAAGTCCGTTTTTTTTCTTTCATTCTTACTTCTTTTTTTCGTTATGCATATTTTTTTTTTTGTTTTTTCATTTTGTAACATTTAAGTAGAAATTTCTATGCAATAGAATAACAGGAAACATTTTTATATACAAATGTAATTTTATAATATGCACAATGCACATATACCCATATAAATAGTGTGTATGTTCATAGAATATTGAGAGAAAGGATACTTAAGTATTCTAAAAGGATACTTTATGAACATGAAAAGAATAAGAAAATAGAAATAGAACAATATAAATATTAGAAAAGCGGAAACACATTTTCTATTCTGTTAAGTGTTGCTTGTTTTTTTCTCCCTCTTTTTTCTGTCTTTTTCTTCTGTATTTTATAGTTTCTTTTTTCGTTTTTTTTTTTCATTGCTTTCAAGAGCACTATGGAATAAAGAAAAAATTCTTTATTCTTTTCTTTTATAATTTTTGAATTTGAAATTATTTTTTTTCATTTTATATTTTAAATTTTTCTTTTTCTTTTATCTTTGTTTTTCATTTTAATTTTTTTTTCTCTCTTCTATTATTTTGTGCTCGATTTTGATACTCACGAGAAAAAAAAAATCTCACTTCAAGGATCCATGAATTTTTTTTATTTTTTGGATTTTTTGTTCTTCTTTTTCAAGATAAACTATTGAAACTTTTAAGCTTTCTAACACTGAGATATTTTCTTTTTTGTATACATTAAAAAATGAAAGGAAAAAAAGCAAATTTCAAGTATGTTTGTATATTTATAATAAATTTACACACATATATATATATATATATATATATATATATATATATGTACAAGAAAGGTGTGTGTATGAATACATATATATTTTTCAACATGCTTGCAGTCAATTTAGAAAAAAATAAGGAATATATTTAAGGAATC